CGAATTTAATAAAACAATTATTCCATTCGCGCTTGTTGGATATGAGATTGGTTATAGCCAACTCGGCCCTTCTGGCCTCGTTGGCTATTTACCATCTCATATCCAACACGCGTTCCTGGAATAATTGTTAAATATGGGCTATGTAGGTATCTGTATGTGAGGCCCCAAAGGGTAGGGTTTTTCAGCCGTTTGGGTCATAAATAGGGTATCGATTTTGGCCATTTTGGTTATAAATTGGGTATGTTTTTAGCACTCTAGTCTTGAATTGGGTATGTTTCTTAGCAGAAGCTACCTTTTCATCATTATCAATAGGACCTTCAACAAAAGTCCTTCATAACGTATGTTTAGGGCAACTGTGTCAGCCCCAACGGTCATGAATAGGCTATCGAATTTTTGGTCAGGTCATAAATAGGGTAGCAAAAACGAAGATTTTGGTCATAAAGAGGGTAAGGGTTTTGGGAAGGGGGCCGCACAGCCCCACTCAACTTTTCTGGAAGTACCCCCCCTGGGCCAATTACCAGGGGCTGAGGGCAAATCCCCTACCCCGCGCGCGCCGATCAGTAGATTTGGCAAGATTTTCTCATTTCAATATTGGTAATGAAAAAGCCACCCATTAATTTTTTGGACTAGTGCAATCGTTTCAGTATGACCGAACGACGACAATCATTGCACCTTTTCAATTTTTATCTACCTTTCCTCGGAAAATATAAGGAGTTGCTACTACATGAGGGCGGAGGAAGCAGACATGGACCTAAAATNGGTAGGGTTTTTCAGCCGTTTGGGTCATAAATAGGGTATCGATTTTGGCCATTTTGGTTATAAATTGGGTTTGGCTTTAGCAATCATTGCACCTTTTCAATTTTTATCTACCTTTCCTCAGAAAATATAAGGAGTTGCTAACACATAAGGGCGGAGGAAGCAGACATGGACCTAAAATTCACTTTTCCTTTCCAGTTATCAGCCGTTCGTTTTTCATAGAAAACACAATGGAAGAAAATCAAAAGATGGGACCATGGGCTTTTGTTGAAGGTCTCATTGATAATGATGAAAAAGTAGCTTCTGCTAAGAAACATACCCAATTCAAGACTAGAGTGCTAAAGCCATACCCAATTGATAACCAAAATGGCCAAAATTGATACCCTATTTACGACCCAAACGGCTGAAAAACTCTACCCTTTGGGGCCTCACATACAGATACTTATATAGCCCATATAAATGAGTACCCCCTCCCGGGTAATTGGTCACGCTGCAACTTGTGTGACATTGTGACGAAGCTGGTCAGCTTTCGTTGTATAAACGGTACGATAAACGGATCCCGAAGTTTATTTTATGCGCTGTGCAAGATACTAAAAGACAAGATCGAGTGGACCGCTTTTAGCGGGACTGCCACTTAAGCTTTCAGAAAATGTATAGGTTGATGGGTTTTCTTTCAAAGAGTCAGCGTAAGAGCACGATTTCCAAACACTGTCAATCCACCTATCATGATAGCTTAATGATCAACAAAACGTGGAGTTCACAATGTCCATTTGAACTAAATTAAGTGTCTGTGAAAAAGTTATTGCCAGAACAACTTAATAGCTATTACAATACTAAGATATTTATCAACGCATTTTTCAACGTATTGCTTAAACTTAAATTCAGGTGACAGAAACTGAGAAGCGGCCTTCTTTTTCCGCCATCTTTCCGTCATGTTGAAGGTCTTACGAGTTTGATAATTATGAGAATTATGGAATACCTTATAGAGGTAATACGCATAATAATTATTGTGTAGTTTCCACGACAACGCAACGTTCTGTCCTAGCGATTGATATAGATTGGCTGTTGTTATCATGTTACGTTACCTGTCACAGTGGTAGTTGCTTTAAAATTTCCTTTGTCAACATTGGTAGTCCCATCAAACGTAAATTTGTCTCTTTCAAAATATCTTTTTTCACTGAAAATTGTGAGCGAGCTTTCACGTGGTGCCGGTTTAATTGCTATCGTTTAAAGTTTCCTTGACAATCCGCTCGAAACAATCGTAACACAGCATAACATGAGCAGGTATGACTTCTGTTCAGAGTATTTATTTCTTGAACGGTGATTTTAAATACAGTTTTTCTTTCAGAATGGACAAACGGTCGTTTGAATCGGAAAGGTTGAATGTTTGTTTTAAACAAACACAGTCATTTGGGCGGCTGTATAAAGTTCCTTCTGAATAGATAATCCCAGCCATTCGAAAACCTGAATCCCATTAGATACCGTTGGCCGATCGAACGGCTGATTCGTTTGACCGGATAAAATTGATTTAGTGATTGTGTGATTTAGTTATACTTTTTGTACTTTTAATTGATTTTATCTCTTATCTCGTATTTTTATTSATTATATTATCTCATAGTTATGCCATAGTTTTAACATCCGTATTGTACATAATTTTTAGAGGGCCACTGGTTTGTTAGTATTTTTATACTATTTTAGTGCTACCCTCTTTAAATAAAGTCTTTACTTACTTACTTACTTACTTACTATAACTATTTTTTCGAAGAGATGACCATTTTTTCGAATGGATACCGTTAGCTGTTCGAACGGATGACCTCAGGCGTTCAAACAGATGACGATTTTTTTTGAACGGATAACCTCAGCCGTTCGAATGGATGAAGATTTTTGCGAATGGATAACCTCAGCCGTTCGAACGGATGAAGATTTTATTCAAATGGCTGAGGTCATCCGTTCGAACGGATGAAGATCTTTTTTGAACAGATAGCAGCAGTTGTTTGAACGCTAGAAATTTTTCTGAATGGATGATCCAATCCATTCGAACAGCGTCCCACTGATCATGAACGGATGGCAAATGGCAAGCAAACGGTTTTTAAGCATTCGAACGGATAGCCATAGTGTACGTTTTCGCGTGAGAGGTCACATTTGCACTTGCTTAGTAACGTGACATGACAAAGTCACACAGTGAACAGGACATTACCCGATAGTTTCCAACACTTTCCCCCATTTGTAAAGAAACACGCAAAAGGAAACTTGAGTCTCTTAGAACAATAACAATTACGAACTGGAAAGCTAAAATTAAGAGAATCGTTGTTCAAAGTTCAGCACCAGTGTATAAGTTGTTCAGTATCACAGTGATCTATATGCAATCTGTATACATAGTTTCAGTCCTCACAGGTCTGCTTCTTCCACAACATCTCAAATGTACCATTGGGGGACAACTTCAGCATGACACCTGGGTCAGAAGAGCTTGGTCTCAGGATTTGACCTTGCTGGGTTGGTGACTGGTTGATGCCATCGCAGGATATCCCAAGAGTGTAGAGCTACTGGACTGTCCTCTCCAAAAAGGTTTTTCTGGCTCATAGTTTTGCAGCACGAACAACACCATGACATCCACTGAACAGCTCAACCACCGCACCCAGAGACCACTCCCCTTGATTCCTTTCCTCTGGGCAAACTAGAACAACATTTCCTATCTTTAGAGATTCTTTCTTGCCTTTTTTGTCACAGTGAGCCATTCTCTAAGAGCAGCCAGGTACTCGTGGGTCCAGTGTTTCCATAGCACGTCCTTACAAGGTTATAGATACTTTGCTATTTACTCAGGTTCCCAGGCTCCTCTTGCTAAGTCTCCTGTTTAGGCAGGCGGTTGCTTCGTTAGAACAAGAAAGAAGCTGGTGTGAGCAGCAGTAACCGGGTGTCGTCTTTGACATCAGGCAATGGGTGTCAGTTGAGTTGAATTTCAATTTCAAGGACAACTGCACACAGCTCCATCCAGGAAAGCATTCCTCCTCTGATCGTCTTAAAGAAGGTGTGTTTAAACATAACAATTTTTTCTTGGACAATTCTGTGCAAAGGAGACTTGCACAGAACCACGCCCACACCATTGACAGAACCACACCCCATGTAGAGTGTAATGATGTGGTTGTTGTACAAACTTGTTGCTGAATGGGCAGTCATCTGGCAAGTAGATACCAAGATTTCTTCACTATAGTCGGTAGATTTAGTTGCATTTTATTAGCAGCGAACTTAAGGGATTCATAGCACGAGCTAAGACTCTCCAGATCTTTGTATCTTTTTTTATGCCTAAGAAAATAAAAATAAAATAAAATAAAATAAAGATCCTTGAATCAATTCCCGACTGCTGCTCTGCTGCATTGACTGGTCCTTCAACTTTGGAAACATTTCGGTGGCAGTTGTGCCTGAACCTTGCAATCCACGTGCATATGCATAAGGCTTTTTGAAGATCATGGTGGTGTAGTAGCTAGTTGAACTAGTCTGTTTCTTCATTAAATGTGATAGCAGCCAGCACTTTTTTCACATCTTTCGACTCAGCATAAGACTCTGCACTGGTAGCTGCTGTCACTAAATTTTCCGGCCATGTGTTGTGGTCTTCAAGCCAGTGCAGTCTGTACCACTACAGTGCTGACTCTACAACAGACCTACCAGGACTTCCAAGATCGGCCAGATTATGGGCGGTTGGCACGTGCCTCCACTCATTGACAGCGTGTTCTCTGATTTTTCCAACTTGATTAGCTATGAACTGATGATATTCTATGCTGTCTCGAATCCAGTGTAGTATGTCAGTACTATTAAGCCAGCAGCAAACCGATGTCACAGGGAATCTAGTCAAGGCTCTATGTACGTTGTAGACCAAGTTTATAGCCATATGTCTGGCAATCTGAGCCTGGGGATCAACAACTGTTGCTTGGCAAGAGGTGCCTTCGCTGCCACAAGGGAAGGGAAGATTGCTCTCCCATTTTCT